GATTCTGGATTAGAAATTTAGAATATGTAGGAGTGGACAACCATGATTTTGTCCTCTTTTGTAAAAGTAATTTATTTTTCTGTTTTTAGGTTGGGCCTATTGTTTTTATTTTGGTCTAGAAGTGGATCCATTTTGGGCTTGAAATCTACTTCATTAAATAAATCTAAAACGTTGGCGCCAATAATTTGGGCCTAAAATTAATTTATGGCTCAATGTAACAGATGAAAATGCCGTGAAGCCCAAACCATTATTAAAAGGGTCTAATTGGGTGAGCATTAAGTACGGACAAATCTATTACTAGCAAGTACTTTAACCGTTCGGGTAAGTAGTTTACCCAAACGGTAAAAAATTAGATAATTATAATGAGTATAAAAATAATATATTTATAAGTATTAAATCAAGTAATAAATATAAAGGTTTAAAATTATTTACCCAACTTATTTAATTGATTTATTTAATTGGTACATTAAATTAAAAAATATATATGAATTAATTTTTTTTAAATATAATCCAACCCAATATATCAATACATTTTAAACTCAACTTAATTATTCATATTGAATTGATATTTATTTATGTTTTGACAATTTATAATTAATTTTACCACTTGTTCATTGAACTTTTTAGTTACAACTAATTGTATTCTTGCAGTCTATAGAGGTAGAATCTAGATTTTATTATTATTGTACAAGGAATAAATCTGTTAGTTTAATTATTTATGTTGGATTTATCTATCTATTTTTAGACAATTTATATTTGATTTTATATTTAGAAAACATTAATTAATTGCGTTTAAACTTTTAGAATTTTGTTCAATGCAATTGAATATCAATTGATTATAGGTAAAAAAAATCATATTTTTGTATGGATTGATGAGGAATAAGGATCCCCATTCCCTGCAAAGACTAGAGATGGAAGGTAAAATCTACCCCCATCAAGAATCCTGTTGGGGATCTCCATCCCCAAGGGCCCATTGCCACCTCTAATCCAAACACATATCACATATACAATCAATAACTTTTCCCCTTCCTTGCACTCTTAGACAACAGTTAATACATATAACTTCAAAGGTTGACTCTTTTTAACCTTTTTTTTAGTTTTCTATTAGTGATTTTTGAGTTCGTTCTTTATTTTTAATTATTTAACTAAATTTAGTTTTTTCAATAGTATTTAGATTTGAGTTGTGGTTCTCTATTGTTATTTTATATTACATTTAAGTTTAGATTGTAATAAATAATATTTTATTAAAATTTTACTAGTTTTATTTAAATTTAAATTGAAAAATAAACAATATTTTATTAAATTTTATTTTTTTTAAAAAAATAAAGCAAAATATCATTCAACAAATATATATATACCCACAAGTTACCTTATACCTGTTGAGTTAAATACTAAGTATAAGTCCTCAAGCATTTTGGTAAATATCAAGTTTAAAAAATTATACCCAAAAATTTTCAAATCAAATATCAAATTTATCTTATACTTCACCTGCACCCAAAAATACTCACCCACAGGGTCTAAAGAGTCCGGTGTTGTTACTGTTGTAGGCTTCACTTTGATCTCCATAGATGTGAAAAATCTCAACAAGCCCCTATAAAAAGGGATTAGCGTTGAAAAAAGGCCACCAAATTTGTGGAATTGCCAAATTAACTACCGATTGGCGATTGTCATCAATTATGCCATTAACTATTGTACATTCATTAAAAGAAAAACATTAATACATTTGCTCTATTTTACTTGTCACATTTTTTCTTGACATGATTAGAGAGAAAGTTACAAATATTTATATAGTTAAAACCCCAATTTGATCATTTTATTTTGACAAAAAATTCCTTTTTAGTCTCTCTCCTTAAAAAAATCCCTTTTTGATCCTTAAAGTTTAAAATCTGACTCATTTTTAGTTTCTCTATTAAGTTTTGATGTTAGATGACAAAAATTTCAAATAAGAGAAACCAAAAAGGAGCTTTTTTCCAAAATAGAGGATCAAATGGGGCTATTTTCAGCTCCTTTTTGGTCTCTTTACTTTGCAATTTTCGTCATCTAACGTGTCATGTATGCAAAACTGAATGAAGGGACTAAAAAGAAGTCAAATTGCAAATTTTGGGGACCAAAAAAAGACTTTTTTAAGTAGAGAGACTAAAAATGGACTTTTTACCAAAATAAAGAGACTAAAATGGGGATTTAACCTATTTATAAAGACACATCCTACTAATTAAAATTTCATATTTACCCTTATTAATGAGAGGATAGTTGGGAAGTTGGGTTTCGTTCTCTTTTAAAAATGAAGTAATTATAAACAAGAGCAAAATTGAAAAGAAAAAAAAAAAAGACTTTAATGCTATTTTGCAAATTAAAATTAACAAATAAATTGAATGGAATAATCTCCTTTTAGAAAATGTGATAAGTAAAATGGGCAAGAGGTAGTACCATGTTATGCAATTTTACTCAACTCAACTCACTCATAAAAATTGAGAAACAGGTTTGAAAAATATTTATCCATTTCATTTGATAAATAATTAGGAAGTTGTTATCCAACGAGTTTTATGAAAATCAAAGACAAAACCCTTTGTGAAACCCCCAAACTTATTTTAGATTCTCAATTAAACCCCTCAATTTTTATTAAAGAAAAATGCCCTTGAACTCGGCAATTTGGGCAATTTAATCTTTTTTCTTATGATGGATTTAACACCACTTATGTCTTATTTACATGGACAAGGTCAATATCCATCATGTAGGTAATGATATGTCAATATCTTACTCAAGTGAGGCACAAACAAGTATTAAATATACCAAAAAAGAAAAAAAGAAAAAGAAAAAAGGGATAAATTGCCTTGATTATCAAGTTTGGTGCTTATTTGCTTCAATAAAAGTGGAGGAGCTTAATCAAGAATCTGGGATAAGTTTGCAAACTTAACATAGGATTTTACCAAAATCAAACAAGAAAATAGCTAAAAAGTTAAACATAAAATAAATTTTCCCAAACATGCTCAAATAATTATTCAAATTGATACAAGCTAAATGACCTTCATTTTAGTCTTTATATATATGTCATTAAATTCATATCTTCCATGAAGAAGCTACGTTTGGATTTAATTTTGATAAATTTTGTGATTTTTGAAGTAAATTGGATCAAATTACTCACGGCTTAATTGAACATAGTTAAAGATAAGTTGTCAAACTGAATGTTCTAGATTAGATTAAAAGGTCTTTTCACCTTGGGG